CCCCTCAGGATCCCGCTGTGGGGACCCGGCCCGTGCCCCCGCTTTGCCCCCCGCCATGCCCCCACGCGCGGCCACGCTCACCTCCGCACCGCCTCGCCTGCAACTGCGCAATGAGGGCGAACAAAGGCGCTGCGGGCCTTTATATAGCTGACGTCACGGCCGCGAACGAGGCCGCGGGACCCGGATGCTGCGCGCGGGAGGGGGCGGGGCCTCGCTGCTGGGAGACAAAGGGAGGGGAGGGGTGCGAGGGGCTCCCGTCTTGCAGGGTGGAGCTTGGGTTGTACTAAGACGCATGGAGGGGCTTGTAGGGTGCAGGGGGGGGTGAGACCCTGCTTGGGAAATGCCAGATTTTAGTTTTTGCTGGGTTATGTTGGATGCATACAAAAAAAGTAAAAATAGAACAATCCTTGTGTTGCAAAGGCTGCAAGGAGGCACTTTGCTGTTTGAAGTCTTTTGAATCCTGTATGCAGCTATGATGGGGCTAAGAGTACCTGGCATTAGCACCTTGAAAGCTGCTGGGGTGGCCTGGCCCCCACTTGAACATCCCCAATTGCCGTGGCTGTGGGAGGATTTAACATTTTATTTTGTGAAGCATGTGTGCAGCTGTGAAGGGGCTAAGATTGCATGGTGTTGGCCCCCTGAATCGTGCAGGGGGTGCTGGGCAAGCCTTGGCCCCCCCATCCCCCCCGGTTGAGAGTGGGAGCCTTGTCCCAAATTGCTGTTGCTCTGGGAGGGTGTAATGCCCTTGGAGGATTTAACGGAACAGAAGTTGCTTTGTCTCCTGGCGGAGGGGGCGGAGTGCGGTCAAAGCCTTCAAGTTAAAGACGGAACAAGGAGAAAACTGTCTCGAGTTGCAGCACGGGAAGTTTCAGTTGGATATTAGGAAGGATTTTCTCACGAGGAGGGGAGTGAAACACTGGAACGGGCTCCCCAGAGAGGTGGCGCAAGCTCCGTCCTTTTTAAGGCCCGGGTAGATGAAACCTTGGCTGGGACGATCTAGTCCCGATTTGAGCCGGGCATTGGACTTGATCAGCGGTTCTCAACCTTTTTTGTACCAGGACCCATTTGTACAAATCAATGGTCAGTCCCGACCCAGACTCCCCCAGGAGGTGGGCACGTGGGGCATGCTGCCAGCCTGCAAGATAAAACCTGTGGTTTCCTATGTTTTTCTCCTTTCAAGTAAAATCTATTGTTTAACTTTGTTCGTGACCCTTTTTATATATTCTTACGACTTGAGAAACACGAGACTAGGTGACCTTCTGAGGTCCCTTCCAACTCTCATTTTTTATGAATCTATGATAAAGGGATGCTTGACTGTGCAATATAGCTGAGGGCGGGTACGTGCTGGAGAAGGCCTGTGAACTCCTCTTAACCTAAACCGTGTTGCAGCCGTGCCTTCTGCGTACACTCGCACGCTTGGTTTCTGCCTTTGTTTGCAGTCCCTGTTGAATACTCGGCGAGACGGTTCTGACTGGCAGAGTTGAGCACCTGCATAAGTGTCTGCAAGACTGGGGGCCCTGCGAAGACAAAGGAATTGCAAGTTTATTTCACTCTAGCAGTTAAATGAAGAAATCCAACGAAGGCAAGTTTCAACCACACAAGGGTTTAATGTAGTCTAAATAGGAAGTCACACTTCTCCTCGCTTCAAATTCATTTTCTCGGGTATCCTCAAGAGGACAAGCCCTAGGACTACTTTGTAGCAGATCTAAGCTAAAATGAAATAATTCTTTTTTTTGTAGGAATTGGCACTGGAATAAATTGATCACTGTTTTAAAATGGCACCTGTAGTTAACCTGATGCCGTTTCCTTGTACGGAGCGGGCCTTATAGGTGCAAATTTCAATTTATTATTATAGATTTTGGCTATAGGGGCAAATTCATTAAATGCATGTAAGGTAGGAATAACATTGTTAATGTGCAGAATTGTATCAGTTCTGTGAAATTTTAAAATTGGACCTGTGGCTAAACTCTGGGTGTAGACAAAGGTTCTTCAGTAACCCATGAGTCCCCAATAAATATCTTGTGATAGATCCAACGCAGAAGGTTCCTGGCTTCATCTCCTGTGATGCTTATGGGCAACTCTAAACTATATCCACGTAAATCATGTGGCTATCTGCTGCACAAATGGAAAACTTAAAACTATCCAGCGTGTGAGTATGGTCACCCAGAACAGACCATGGAACATATAACGACTCAATGCCCGATCCACAAATACAAAGGAGGTATCACAGCGATACACTGCTGCTCTGGACACAATTGTCTGGCTCAGCCACCTAAATGTAAAATGATAGTTGCTCTTCTGTATCTACATCAGCCATACAAAAGAAGAGCCTTCCAACCCACAGCAGGACCTGAGTTTCTAACTTTTCCTCACTCCCTTAAATCTCATGGAAGCAAAAAAAAAAAAAAGGG